AAGAAAATATATAATTGTAAAATATATATATATATATATATATATATATATATACAAGATAAAAATAAATAAATAATAATAGTCCTTAACAGGAGTTACATTTATAAATCAGTAAGAATAACATAGTATAACACAGTGACAGCTTTGTCACACTCTACAGTGTACTATTGTGTAATATAATTAAGATATTTTCCCCATTTTGCTAGGTATTCTTCCTGCCTATAATTTTTCTTATAGAAAAGCTGTTCATAAGAGGCTACTCTTCCTACTTCTGTAAACCATTCTCCAGCTGGTGGGGCTCTAGGATTTTTCCACTCTCTTAAGACTACCTGTCTACCTATCATTACTGCCGTTTGAATGAACTGTGCATTACGGATTATTTTTCAAAGTAGGTAGAGGCTTTCCCATTTAAAAACTAAGACGGCTGTGGAGGTTGGGCAAAGACTTTGCTTTATAATATACAGGGGTGCCCAAAATGTATCCTGTCTGATCAAGGGCGGGAATTTGTAAATGAAGTAAATATTGTTTGTGTACTTCTTGTTCATACTCTTATTCATTTTATTTTCATTGTTTCAGCTCAATGTTACTCTGTGTTCTCTGCTGGGCATTGAGAGAAGCGTCACCGCTGCGTACCACCCACAGACTGATGGATTGGACAAAGAGACCAACCACAACATAAAGAGGCAAGAAAGTGTCCAACAAGGCTCAGTGATTCAGTTCGCTCCTTCACCACAAAACAAGGCCAGTAGAAAGACACACACATATTATCATTTAAAAAGTACATTTTTAAATTGTCAGATGTTCATGTCTTTACTAAATCTTAACACTCAGTCCCCATAAATGTTTTTCTGCATAAAACAGTTTGTTTAAATAATCATCCTGCAGCAGTCACATGACGCATGTGTAAAAAAAGCCAGCATTGAGGAGCAAGGTTGTAATTGTACAAAGTTCTGACCTGATGGGTATTATTATGTTTTTCTCTAATGCAGGTCATTGATTCCGATCTACGTGTGCTGGTGAACAAAGTAGAGGTGACATGTGTCCTTTACATTGGCTTGTTTCAGCAGAAACCTGTTCCCCAGCTCTCTGCTGTTGTGGGCACAAGCCTCTGTGCGTGGCCAAATGAAACCACTTACAAAGGAAGTTCCAATTTCCGTGGGCCAAATATTCCTTGCATACCCATATGGTTACAAAGACAATAACACTTTTTGGTTCCACTTTTTTATAGATGAAATTTCCAGAAGAGGCTCACTGGATCTGCCCCATAAAGACTGGAGGCCACTGGGTGTTAGTGGTCGTCCTCATGGAGGATAAATCAGTATTGCTCATTGACCCCATGGGAAACGAGGCCCTTTACAAAACAAACATCCTCAAAAACTGGAGGTTTGTCCTATCTGAAAAGTTATCATGAGACTTGTTTTGTAACTGTTCATCTCACTTTAGGAAGTTTCTGAGGCAGGCTCACAGAGGCAGTGGTCAATGGACTGGGAGTGTGCTCAAGCACCAGCTACAAATTGACACCTCTAGTTGTGGCATTTTTATTTTAAAGGTGATTCTGTAATTATTTATTCTTCTTTGAAGGCATAGTGACATGTCCTATTAGCTGTATATATAGTTTGCCGAGGCATGGTTCCTCCAGGGCCATTTGGATGCTGTGTGCACAAACTACAAATGTATTGCTGCAGCGTGTCTGGAAGTGGCATGTACGCTGCTTCAGCGAGGAGGTTATTATCGTCCTTACTTTTGAAATGTTATACCTGGGTTAATCAACAAAACTGAGACTGAAACATTGTGTTTATTTGTAGGTGAAGATGACTACTGTGGTGTGTGTTGTTTCCACTTAAGTGGAGATGAAAAGGTATTTTCCTCTTATAACCCTACAGCATGTGTTTCTGGAATGACTAAAGTTTACTTATTTTGGATAGGTGCAGTGTTGTGCGGCGACTTCACACATTTTGATTGCACCAACAAAAATGCGCCTTTGGTAGCATGTAATCAATAGAAAAAAGTGTTGGCCACACATGTCAGAGTAATTGTATTTTTATAAAATGTACCATGTTGCAACAGTGGTTTCTGGTCTTTGTTTTACCTTGTGCTTTTCAGAATCATAATTTTTGTTTTGCTCTACATCTGAGGCTATGGTGCAAAGTCCCTGGTTATCTATGCATTTATTTTTAATTACTATTCAAACAAGGGTTCTAAAATCAAAATATTGGAAAGTCAGAGGTAACAACATTTCAGAACACAACAGTGTGACAGCAAGATATACCTCTATCAATCTTGTGACATGTGGTTGTATACTACACAAATTATTGGGATTAGTAGTGTTGGAAATGTGTATTTATAATTAAACTGTCCTCTGTTCATATGTAATGTGATGGTGTTTCTGTAGCTACATAAAACATATAAAATTAATCGAATGTAACATGTGTAATCTTGTTATTCGGTATGGATACATTACAATACAATCGTTAATAATCCCATATCAACATAGTAAGCTGTAGAGTTGCCACAGGACGCATCATCAGCCTGCGTCCGCAGCCGAGGACTGCTATCATAACATTAGCTTTGTGGTTTCACAGGCAGAGTTGACTGCTTAAACTAAACTTTACACGAAACTTTGACTCTTAAAACCCACATGTGACAACGCGGAACCATCAACATCTCGCCTCAAATTGCATTAAAAGTGACATTCGTGTCTTATTTCGTTCGTATTATAACTTTTAAAGCAATTCTCGGACTTTCTGTCCGCCATCTTGGTTTGTTTCGGCTGCCGTGAGACGCGCATGCGCGCAGGTTTGCATTACATCATTAACAGCTGAGCATTACATAAGCGTCACTTTTCGGCAGAGCGGCACAACTCGGCAGAACACCGTCACAAGGCGCCACTGAGCACAACCATTCATTTGAATAGGGCGCCATCTTGGATCGCCGGGGCTTGCACCCAGTACACAAAGCTCCAGCCCCTCACTGATCCTCCTGCAGGTGGTGAGTCCACAGGAGCCCTGATATTTCAGCGGGGGCTTCAGGCAAAGTGGGGTTAAGTGTCTTGCCCAAGGACACAACGACAGCAGTCATCAGTGAGAGTCGAGAAGTAGGTCTTATGGTGGGCTCGAACCCACAACCTTCAGGCTCTAAGGCCAATGCTCTACCAACTGAGCCACTGTCACCCGTTATGTAATTTTGTTTTTTTTAAATTTGGATAATTCTGGTTCACAGTCCCTTTTCTTTTGGGTGAGACATAATCATCAACATTATGACAAATACAGGTTTGATAATTCCCACTTTGCGTTTAAAGAGTCTGTCATTAGTTTCACATTTTGTTTGGATCACAGAAGTTAATGAATCGTTAATTTCCAAAAACAAATAAGAGCCATAAAAAAAATAAAAAAAATTGGAAGGCGCACCATTTGCAGTTTAAAAAAATAAAACGAGGTCTATTTTAGTGGCATACACATAATATTTTTACTACTTGTTGAAGATTGTAGCTAGCAATATACAGCTTTTTGATATTTTTTTCTAAATGGAGATATCTGTTTGTGGAAAATGAACTCCTCGAAAGGGCTTTTGAACAATATTCTGATTTTTTCCAAGTTATACCTGTAAGTATAGACGATCACTTTCTTTGCAGTTATACATTGTCAGTAACAATGGAAACAAAAATACATGTTCAAAACTGCACAAAGGACAAGACACTTTTTACGCTAATAACCTTTTTCTGTTACTGGTACTTTTTGAGTGTTTGTTCCTCTTTTGTTCACAAATAATAAGTGGCAAAAAGTGCCAAAATTAAAGGACAACTCACCCTCAAATCCACTTTTTTTTGCTGATAAACGGTATAAATGAGTGTCCAATAGTGTTGTCTACATATCCTGGTCATAATCTTGTCACTTTGGTGCAAATTAGTTGAAAGTTAGACTTTCTGCCTAAAACCGTCTGTGAGGCGCCATCTGCTGGCGACCTGTATTACTACATTTGAATTTTGAATCTGGCGCCAACACTGGCGCGGCAGCAAGACCTGACGTCAGCAGCCCCCCGCCCAGAGCAATGTAAACGGCCCAGTCTCGTTCACGCCCCCTTTAGTCCTCCAGGCTACGCCCATTTAGAGGAAGATTTGAACAGGAAATGTGAGTAACGTAAGCTCCGAGGAGCAGGGGTGAGAACCACTTTAAAGAACTTTTTAGCTCCTGTCTTGGGGCTGGTACCTTCCGGCGAAACAGGGAGCCTTTGGTGACACAGATCGAACGCTGACTTTTGTATGAATTGTTTCTCTTATTTATTTATCCATCCATCCATCCATTTTCTACCCTTTAATCCATTTCTGGGTCAGGGGGGTGGCAATCAGAGATGCCACCCAAGTCTCATAGCACCAGCCCCTCACTGACCCTCTGCAGGTGGTGAGTCCACAGGAGGACGGCTGCTCTCTGAGTGTGAGCATAGCCTTGATTTTTCAGTGGAGGCTTTAGGCAAAGTGGGGTTAAGTGTCTTGCCCAAGGACACAACGACAGCAGACATCAGTGGATGTCTGCTGTCTGCTGTTTATTTATTCTTAGATTTATTAAATCTACTACTATTGCAAACTGATCAGAAAGCATGAACATAAACCAGTACAAGTCCCATGATCATGAGGTTAGAAAAAAAAGTTTAATCAGAATATTAATTGGCCCAGAACTTCTTAACAATTAATTTTATGTTTGGAGCGATGAGCCAATAAGGAGAATAAGGATATTCATCTGTTTAATTCCACTTTATGCCATTTTTACTGTGTGAATGCATCCAAAGGGAATGCCCGAGGGGGCTTCCTCTGACTTAAAAGAACTGGAGGATAATAGGGACTAGCTTCTGGTTTGAGCAAGTAAGCACTCATACAGTAGGCGTCAGCAAGAACATTTTGAGTGCTGTGTATTAATACTCCAAGGTGTCATATGGTTCATGACATACTGTATGTAAACGGATGTAAACATTTATAAACATGTATAAAAATAACTTCAGTGCCAGACCTTTGCGATGTACTCTTTTTTTGTGTAGTCATGGTTCTCCTTCAGTTTGGACGGAGGGATGATCCATTCTCTCTTCTTCCTCTTCTGTGGTTTTGCTGATTCACTGTAGAGCAGTAACTACAAAAACAGGATGCATAATTAGAACTCATACAACACTTAAAACTATAGTTTACTTACTAATAATATATTATTACAGCGCTCTGAAATGAACTTCAAATTGTGCCCCAGCACTGATAAGAATGTCCATACAAGATTGACCAGTGGTTTGTCTGTTTTTCGTCGAAACGCAGACGAGCTCTTGTTTCATTTGCAAAGAGCTCGTCTGCATTTGGAGGTTCTGATAGAGGACAGTACTTGCTTGGCACACCTATAAACCACACCAACTAAATTTGAAAAAGTAAATTGTGTCCACATGTAGGCCGCACTCAAGTAAAAGATGCAGGTTTTCATGTTAATGTACCCCTTAACTAACAGCTGATGACAATACGATTTAATGATGAGGTGTTGAACTGTTGACTTCTTATAGACAAAGCGAAAAGGTAAATAACACAAACTCTGAGAAAGTAAATATTAACTTAAGCCTGTTTACCATAACTGTTAACCTCCATGTTGGAGCTCATTCACCTATTGACAATTAATGTGTGTCTTATCGCTTTTAAACTTTATGCAGTCAAATGTTATAAGTCCATAAACTCTGCTGTGTACAGGCGCTGTCGTATACATAGAACACAAAAGTGAAATTCCCCGGCTTTAAGCGTTGATGTTCCAGAGATGATGTCGCTTTAAATATAGGTTGTGTTTAAAGTGCCGTGTGGACAATGTTGTCTGTTAAAACACTGGGCTGATTGAACGAGTTTCTCAGTATGTGTGGAAACCATGTCAAAATAAGTAACAGGCACTTCCCAAAACATTAGACTATTGCAAGGAATGTTCAGAAGGTGAAACTCAATTGTTCTTTTTTTGTGGCTGGTGACGCGTCCTGTGGCTAACTCGACAGCTGTTAGCTTACAACTTTCGATTCTGTTCATTATTTCCATTATCCACCCAACTCACCATTTGTAAGTTATTAGCTGTCGCGTCATCAGCAGTGTGGTTCGAAAGAATGTCTACTTATACTTTGCATGAAACTTTGACTCTTAAAACCCACATATCACGACATTGAACCATCAACATCTCGCCTCAAATTGGATTAAAAGTGACATCCGTGTCTTTATTCGTTCGTATTTAAAATTTTAAAGCAATTCGCAGACTTTATGTCCGCCTTCTTGTTTTGCTTCTGCTGCCTTGAGAAGCGCATGAGCAGGTGTACATTACATCATACACATCTGAGGCAGTGTATCTCTACGAGGCAGTGCAAACCAACGTTACACCACCATTTTGTTTGTACCTCAAATGTAGGCTTTGCACATGCCCCCGAAGAAGGCCCTGAAGATGTGGGCGAAGCGCATATCCCTGTTCACGTAACGACTTTTATTTTAATGTTTTAATGAGTGCCCCGGATTTTTCTCATCTCTTCAGAAGTTTCCAGTGTTTTTGCCGCTGCTGATCCTGATGAGAACCTGACAAAGTTAGACCCACTGCAGCACCCCTCTTTTTCATCTTTCTTTATTTTTTTCATCATTTATTCTTTAATTTGAGCCAATATACAGTACAGACCAAAAGTTTGGACACACCTTCTCATTCAAACAGTTTTTTATTTTCATAATTATGAAAATTGTAGATTCACACTGAAGGCAAGAAAACTATGAATTAACTCATGTGGAATTATGTACATACTAAAAAAAAAGCATGAAATTACTGAAAATATGTTTTATTTTTTTTTATTTGTTTTATTTTTATTCTACTTAAACAATACAAAATTCAAAAACAGACAGGTAAGTGACAAGTATACACAGTACAAGACATACAAGAATACATAGAATACAGACAAGGACAGTGAACAAAGTTTTGTGTAGATGTGTGTGCATGTGCGTGGTGTGTGAATGTGTGTGTGTGTGCGCATGTGCATTGCTTACAAATATAAAAAGAGAAAAAATTAAAGAATAAATAGTAATAATATGTATAATACTAATACCACTACCACCATCAATATTAACAATAATATTAATAATTATAATGAAAACCATAACACTAGCAACAGGAGGGTGGCCGCCACTGCCTTCCCCACCGACGATGTCTGATTCCGGATGGGTGTAGTGCATGGATCTTCTGCTCCCTGATCCCCCATCCCCTCCATATAGGTTCTTGTTCCTGCTTTGTGTTATCCTTATGTACAGGTGTCTAATGTGCATTAAAAGAGGACATATTTTGAGGGTGCCAACCTAGGATGGCGGCGCCTCCTAAGGGCACTTCTCAACTGTCCTGATTCCTACAAGTCTATTCAAGTGTTTGTTTATATATTTTTTTTTTATTGTTGTTTTTTTTTTTTTTTTTTTTTTTTTTATTATGTGGGGGGGTGAGGTGCATTAAAAACAACATGGGTGGGGGTGAACCAGGGAGAGTATGTATGGATTCAATGATTGTCTTGTGGTGCTGAAGGCAAAGACAGCGGCAACCAACCTCCCGCAGCAGCGTCGTAGTATCAGTAGTAGTAGTAGTAGTAGTAGTAGTAGTAGTAGTAGTAGTGGCAGTAGTAGTAGCAGTAGCAGTCAGTAGCAGTAGCTGTCACAGTATGAAGTAGTGGCAGCATTATCAGATAACAGTAATAATCATATATAGAAGTTACGGCAGTGGAATATTATACGAGCTATCTAGTGTTTTAGTGGAAGGAGGTAGAGTGAAAAAAGATGTTATAAGTAAATGAGTGAATGAGTGAGCGAGTGAAATAATTTTGTTGCTGTTAGTTGGTGATTTAAAGAAGGGAAAGGTCCGGCAGTGTTGGGAGTGAGGGGTTGGACTCTGAAGGATAATTGCAGGGGGGTGATGATGAACATTCCAATGAGATGAAGTCTGTGAAAAGGTTTTTCCAGTGGTTTATATTTATGTTATTGCGGGATTTCCAGTTTACAAAGATGGTTTTCTTGGCGATGGTTAGAGCTATCAAAAGTGTTTTAAAATTTATGGCTTTATCAGTGATCATTGATAGATCCCCTAGCAGGCAGAGGGGGGGGGATAATGGGATGCGGCAGCCCAGCAGGGATGACAGTGACCGTGTGACCTCTTCCCAAAAGTGTTTGATGGGGGTGCAGTTCCAGGTAGCATGAATGTATGTATCGGGACAGTTCTGAGTGCAGTGTGGACATATGTCTGATGTGAAACCCATTTTAGCAAGCCTACTACCGGTGTAGTGTGTTCTGTGCAGTGTCTTGTATTGTATTAATTGAATGTTGGCATTTTTGGACATGTAGGAGATATTTTTACAAATCTGGGACCAGGAGTTAGCATCGGGAGCAATTGACAGGTCATTTTCCCATTTTGTTGTTATTGTATTGCATATTATTTTGTCTGAATTTGAGATTATTTTGTATATTTTAGAGATTAATTTTCTTGCAGATGAGATGTTGAGCAATTCTGATACGGCAGGTGGAGTTTGCAGGTGTGATGATCCAATGTTTATTTTTGTTAGGACTGATTTAAGCTGAAGATATTTCAAAAAATGATTGCTCCCTATGCCAAACTCCTGGGCCAGACGTGGAAACTCTTTGATTGTGTTTGAAGTGAAAATATGGTTCATGTGAGTTATACCTTTTTCGGCCCATGTGCGGCCATGTAGAGTGTTTTTTTTATTGCTGGTGAAGTCTGGGTTATTCCATAGTGGAGTGAGGTTAGAGGGGGCAAGTGTTGAGTTTGTGATGTGGTGGTATTTCCACCAGGCTGTCAGAGTCGAGGCTATTGTTATTGCTTTAAAGCATGTGTGCTGTTTAATAGATTTGGTGAGAAATGGGATGTCGGCTATATTTAAGTCCTTACAGAATGATTGTTCAGTGTCTAGCCAAATTGTGTCTGATTGCGTGGGGTGGGTCCATTTATATATATATTGTATTTGATTTGCAAGTGAATAATTCAGGAAGTTTGGTGCCTCTAAACCACCATGGGTTTTTTGTTTTTGCAGTGTGGTAAGTTTAATCCTTGGAGTTTTGTTTTTCCAGTAGAATGCAGAGATGATTGAGTCTAGTGATTTAAACCAGTTAAGTGTGGGATGTGTTGGAATCATTGAGAGAAGATAATTTATTTTGGGTAGGATGGCCATCTTAATAACTGCGATTCTTCCAATTATGGAGAGTGGTAGGTTGATCCAGCGGATGAGGTCTTGTTCTATTGTCTTTAATAAGGGTGTGAAGTTTAATGTCATCAGCTCTGACAGCCTGGGGGAGATCTTTATTCCTAGGTAAGTGATGTGACTGGTGCATAGGGGGATGGGGGATTGTTGAGCTGCCGCATCCCATTTAGTTTTGGATAGAGGGAGTATAGATGATTTGTTCCAGTTAATTGCATAATCAGAGATCTTAGAAAATGACTGGATAGTTTTGATTATTTCCTGGACGGTGGTTTGGGGGTCTTGTATAAATAAAAGGATGTCATCGGCGTAAAGGGAAATTTTGTGGGATTGAGACAATTCTATACCTTTAATCTTTTGATTTTGTCGTATAGTGGCTGCCAGTGGTTCTATAAAAATGGTGAATAATAACGGAGAGAGTGGACATCCTTGCCTAGTTCCCCTGTGTAGTGTGAAACTTTGTGAAGTTAGACCATTTGTTGTGACGGTGGCAGACGGTGACGTGTATAAAATCTTGACCCATTGGACAAACGACTCTCCAAAGCCAAATTGTTGTAGCGTGGTGAATAAGAAGTTCCAATTTACTCTGTCAAAAGCTTTTTCGGCATCTAGTGTAGCAATAACCGTGTCCTTCTGATGTAATGTTGTTTGATGTATTAAATTAAATAGTCTGCGGGTGTTGTTGGCTGCGAATCTTCCTTTAATAAAACCAGTTTGATCTGGGTGGATTATGTGAGATATAATGTCCTCCATTCTATGGGCTAATGTTTTGCTTATGATTTTTATGTCTACATTTATAAGTGAAATTGGGCGGTAATTTGAGGTGAGTGTGTGGTCTTTGTTAGGTTTCGGAATTAGGGTTATTAATGCTGTATTCATGTGGGTTGGGAATTTACCATTT